TGCTGTGAAACACTGAGTAAACACACACACACACACACACACATACACACACACACACACACACATTCACACACACATTCATACACACACATACACACACACATGTACACACGCATACACACATACACAGACACATAAACGCACACATACACACATACACAGACACACATACATACACAGACACATACATACGGGCCTCCAGGACTTTGGAAGGAGCCTCCACCATGAGGAGGGGCTGGAGCTCCATGAAACCCCTGGTATAACCACTTCTGCCCCTGCTGCTCTCACTGCACACACACACACGCGCACACACACACACATACACACATACATACACACACACACATACACACATACACACACACATTCACACACACACATACACATACACACACACATGCACATACACAGACACATAAACGCACACATACACACAGACACACTGACACAGACACACACATACATACACAGACACATACATACATACATACACACATACACACATAAACGCACACATACACACATACACACATGCACAAACACACACACACAAACACACACATACACATATACACACATGCATACACACATGCATGCACACACACATACACACACATGCACAAACACACACATACACACATATACACACATACACACATACACACATACACACATGCATACACACACATGCATGCACAAGCGCCTCCATGACCACTCCTTTAATTTTTAGGGGATTACCCTTGCTGACAGCAGGGAAATAGAAATTAGAATTCTTATTGACACAATAAGAAAGTGTGGGGAAGTTAGAATGACCAAGTGTTCATTCTAACTTTCAAAATAGAAATGAATGTGGCTTCCCGCTCCTGGGCTCCAGTCCAGGCAGTCCCGGGAAGTCCCCGGCTGTCAGGGACTCAGCCTGTGTTGGGTGGGGTGGGGCGCTCCTGGGCTCCAGTCCAGGCAGTCCCGGGAAGTCCCCGGCTGTCAGGGACTCAGCCTGTGTTGGGGTGGGGTGGGGGGGTCACCGTGGCTCCTCTCCCTATTCTTCCAGCAGTCGCTGCCTCTGGCCTCCTTCCCAGCTCCCCCTGTAGGAAGCGGGGCAGGTGGTGGTGGGAGACCTGGTGCCCTCTGGAGGGAGGTTCAGGGACGAGAATCGTGGCCACTCATTAGCCTTTAAGGGGGACCCCAACCCCTCTGTGTCTCTTGAGTTTCCAAGAATAAAAATCTTGTCATTATGTCTTAATGGGCACGATAGGGTTGAGTGTTGATACGATTTTCGGAGCCTCTTACTTCATAAAGGAATCTGACCACTGGCCGTTCCCTTCCCAGCCGGGCTGTGCCTGAACTGCTGGAGCCTGCAGGAGCTGGTCAGCAGGGACCCGGGCCACTTCCTCATCCTCCTGGAGCAGATCCTGCAGAAGACACAAGAGGTGAGGCTGGCCAGGGGTGACGGTGAGCTGGGATCAGCCGCGTGGTCAAGAAAGAGGCCCCCACAGAATGTCGGTTCTGGGGTGCCTGGGCCGCAGAGGGGCTTGGCAAAGGCTCTGGGAACCTGCGAGCTCGGTGTCAGCCATGGATCGAAGGGTTCTGGGCAGGGATGTGGGCCTCTCAATGAGAACACGTGGTACGTGAGCCAGGGTCCTTTAAGCTGCTTGCGTGTATGTCAAGGTATTGACTAGAAAAGGGGAGGAAGCCTTGCTGGATTCCTTTCCTCAAAAAGATCCATGAAAACAAAGACTGATTGGAGAGGTAAACCCAGACCTCCTCTAACAGGTCAGTAAATGGGCCTTTACGTCTAAGAGGAAGAGTGCAGTCAGAGCTGGGCTGGGCTGGGGTTCCAGGACAGCTGAGTCCCTAAGGAGGATTATGGCTCTTTCCTGAAGAATTCTCTTTAAAGTTTTGTTGTTGTTGTTGTTATTTGTGTGTGTTTTCAATTTTTTTATTGATTTCAGAGAGGAAGGGAGAGGGAGAGAGATAGAAACATGAATGATGAGAGAATCATTGATCCGCTGCCTCCTGCACGCCCCTTACTAGGGATCCAGCCTGCAACCCGGCATGTGTCCTGACTGGAAATCGAACTGTGACCTCCTGGTGTAATAGGTTGACGCTCAACCACTGAGCCACACCAGCTGAGCTAAAGTTTTGCTTTTTAATACATGACTGAGTTGCAAAACATTGGCCTTTCTCTATTAGCTGACCCTTTACCTATAAGAAGAACGTACTGGTTTATCAAGACTCCCAAGGTCCCAGCTCTAGCACCACCATTTACCTGGTGCATTTATATGCAAACCCACTTAGGAGAGCTGACCCTCCCCTGGAGTGCTTAACGCACACCCCAAATGTAAAGGATCAACTACTGTGCAGTGACAGGGGAGCAGGCACATGGTCTATTCAGGAAAAAGAAAAGGAGAACCTTACATTTGAGCCTGCGAGGTCACCAGGCAGTGGGGTTGTGGGGCTGTCGCTGAGGCTTCAGCCCGTGAGCTCTAGACGGGGCTGAAAGGCCGAAGAAGTCCAAATCCCACGCTCAGGTGTGTATGTGCTGTGGTGGGTGAGCGCTCTAAAAAAGACAGTGCACAAAAGAATAACTAGAACTTTAAACATATACAGGAAAAATGTTGCCCCTGTGATAATAGAACAAATGCAAATTAAAACCATAACGAGACAGCCTTTGCCTAGCAAATTAGCAAAAAATTATAATAAGCAATGCAGAGAAGGTTGTAGTGAAGCTGGCACTTTCGAACATATGAGAGCTTATAAGTGGCAAAATCCTTTTGGAAAGCAATGGGGCAATATGTTTAAAAGATCGTAAGTATGTTTATACTCTCGATTGATTCCACTTCTTGAACTGTATCCTAGATAAATCATACAAATTATAGAAAAAGAAATTTGCTCAAAGGTTTTCAAAAGTAATTAAATTGCAAAAGTAATTAATAAATCATACAAATTATAGAAAAAGAAATTTGCTCAAAAGTTTTCATTGCAAAAGTAATTATATAGCAAGAAATAACCTCAAATGTCTAAAATGAAACTAATACAGTATAGGTATCTACCAGAAGGAATATTATACAGCTAATAAAAATAATGGATATTATCCAAGGGTATTAACACAATTGAATATGTAATAAAATTACAACAGTAATATTTATTAAATGGCTTAGGGGAAATTGATGAAACACTTGGAGAAACACAGAGTGAGAATCCTAATTCATACCATACAGCAAATGGAATTTTCGATGTCTTAAAGACTTAAATTTAAGAAAATAAAGCTTCAAAGAAAATATATGAGTATTCACATGATCCTTGCATGACAAAGCAAACATCCATAAAGGAAAAAATTAACACATAATTTATGTACACAAATAATCCATACATTTAAAAGCAAACAACAGACTGGAAAAAAAAACAACTTTACAATGCAGGTAACAGGTAAATGTATAGCCAGAAGGGGAACAAGAGGTGGGCTTAGAGATCATGTAACAAAACAGAAACTCATCTATAATATTACATGTAAAAGACATTAAGAGTAAAAATATGCACACTACGATGACTTTGCAGAGGAAAATACACAGAGAAACACTGTAAGGAGAAGTACGTTGAAACTTTAGCAGTGGTTGAGTTTGGAAGGGGCCGTTGTGCGTGGAGTTTTTTTCTAATTTCTAATTTTCTAGTCAGGATTTTTTCTGGTGGTTGCATTGCATGGCTCAGTGGTTGAACATTGATCTATGAACCAGGAGGTCACAGTCAGGGCATATGCCCATGTTGTGGGCTTGATCCCCAGGGGTGGCGTGCAGGAGACAGCCAATCAATGATTCTCTCCCATCATTGATGTTTCTATCTCTCTCTCCCTCACCCTTCACCCTGAAATCAATAAAAATGTATTTAAAAAACAACAACAATAAAACAAGGACGCGCTGCTCTGTTCTGCACCCGTGAGTGAGCCTCACCCTCCTCTCCTGTCCTCTCCACAGGTCCAAGAGAAGGGTTCCTATGACCTCTTCACGCCCCTGGCCCTGCTCTTCTACTCCACTGTCCTCTGTGTAAGTTCCAGGGTGGGCCAGGCTGGGAGCTGGGGGAGGAGAGAGAACAACCCGCACAGGGCAGGCATAGCCCTCACGACTCTGAGGATAAACACTGAGAGAAACTGTCAATCAATGACACCTGATGCCTGTCAACCTTCTGATGGCTTCAGCTAAGCCAGTGGTTCTCAACCTTCTGGCCCTTTAAATACCGTTCCTCATGTTGTGACCCAACCATAAAATTATTTTCGTTGCTTCTTCATAACTGTAATGTTGCTACTGTTATGAATCGTCATGTAAATATCTGATATGCAGGATGGTCTTAGGCGACCCCTGTGAAAGGGTCGTTCGACCGCCAAAGGGGTCGCGGCCCACAGGTTGAGAACCGCTGATAAGCCGTCTTGAGAGTCTCCAGTAACTCGTGGATGCTGTTGTGCCTGGCACATCTGGCGCCCATGGAGGAACCAGTCACAGCCTCTCACAAGCCATGGAGTAGACCCGTTAAACAGCTTCTATGCCCACCTCACTTTGTGCCCCAGCCGTCAGTTTTACCCAATGTGATCACCCCCTATTCGCCAGGCCGGGGGCATCAAATGAGTCCGTGTACATTGAGTCAATTCACTTCACAGAGAAGTGTTTCCCTCTAGTAAGGATAAATGTGGTTTAGACCAGTGGTCGGCAAACCGCGGCTCGCGAGCCACATGCGGCTCTTTGGCCCCTTGAGTGTGGCTCTTCCACAAAATACCGGCTCTTCTACAAAATACCGACTTCTGCACACGGGCCACGAAGTTTCAATCACACTGTACGTGCGCGCCCGCACGTGGTATTTTGTGGAAGAGCCACACTCAAGGGGCCAAAGAGCCGCATGTGGCTCGCGAGCCGCGGTTTGCCGACCACTGGTTTAGACATTTGAGAGGCAGCAGCAGCCCCATTTAAGATGACTCCAGCTTTTCAGAGCGCTGCTCTCCTGAACTGGGTAAATTGTGTTACTTTAATAAAACCAAGGCCCTTACGGTAGAGACACCCCTGATACCCTCTTGCCTATGTGTAACTCACTGCCTGTGGGTTACTTCCAGTCCTTCTTGACCTTGTTCTTGGACATTGCAGCTGCGGGGAAATGTGTGCCCTTTGTGGAACATTCCAGAAAAGTAGCAGGTTCTGCTCTGGAATATCAGTGCACTTTCTCCCACCCAGACTTCTCTGCTTGCCTCTCCCTCTGCATTGCAGACACCACACTTCCCGCCGGACTCAGACCTTCTTCTGAAAGCAGCCGGCACCTACCACCGATTCCTGACCTGGCCCGTTCCCTACTGCAGCATCAGCCAGGAGCTGCTCACCTTCATCGACGCTGAGCTCAAGGCCCCAGGTCAGTGCTGAGGCAGCTTGCGCGGGGAGCAGGGATCATGCAGGCAGGAGGTTCTTCTGGAACTGCTCTTGGGCTGTGATCCTCCTCGCCTCTCAACCTTCAGCTCGTACCTGCCCATGGCCCCGATTCAAAACCTTGGAGTCTCCTCTTTATGGTGCTGTGTGTATCTATGTGCACCAGCATCAGATGGCTGAAAGCAGTGAACGTAGGCAGTAACTCAAGGGGGAATTCTTGTCCTGCCCGGTGTTGCTCAATTGGTAGGAGTTTCGTCCAGTTACACTGAAAGGTTGTGGGTTCGATTCCCGGCCAGGGCAGATACCTGGGTAATGGGTTTGATTCCTGATCCCGACCCAGCCTGTGGGAGGCAACTGATCGATGTTTTCCTTTCTCTGTCTCTTTCCCTTCCCTTCTCTTTGAAAATCAGAAATTGTCCTCAGGAAAGGATAAAAAGGGGAAAAAACAGAGGACTTCTCAGGGGAGGCTGAGCAGGCGTTCAGGGCAAGGAGACCACACCATGCGGCCTGTGCCTCTGTTCTGGTTATGCAAGTGGTCTCTGAGGCTGCCCAGGTCCGACAGCGAAGCCCATGTTGACACGAGGCCCTCCCGTGTTCTCTGCCTCAGGAGCACGTGGGGGAAATGTATGTGTGGACAGGTTCAGTCTGGCCACGGAAGGTGGCTGGTGTTGGGAATGGACAGGTGTGGACAGGGCGCCATGACAGGTGTGGACAGGGGCCTGGTACTAAGTTTTCATATGTAGAGTCTGAAAAGTAGGAATTCTTGAGAAATTGCAGGTGCTATCATACACATGCAAATGAGGTAGAAGAAAACTATTGCAGAGCAAGAGAAATCATAATCAAGTATGATGTCCTGAGAGGTAGTGTGATATTAGAGCAATTCATCCCATCAGAGGCTCAAAGGAATGAAGTCAGGAAACAACTGAATGGATAAAATTCAATATCCGTTCCTAATATTTAATACCCCTCTAATATATGAAAACTTTTAATATACGGAAGTGTTCTTAATACTAGAGGCATTTCCATTTAGTCAATAATCTTTCTCTTCATGCTTACAATGATTTTGCCTATGCAAAAAAATAAAGAATATTTCCTTTTCCAGAGAAGATAAAATTTTAATAGGTAGAAATCAAACAATTGCTTATTTATCAAGACTAAGAGGATCACCTGAAGGACTGTCAGACTGGTAAACACGGAGCTAAGAGCTTTGCCATATAATGGCATTAACCAGTTAGAAGACATGAAAAAAAAAACCCACAACAATTTGCAATAGCGACTACAAATATAAAATAAATGCAACTAACCTACATAGAAGAAACAAATTTAACCAAAGGATAATAATTTAAAACACATGTTGCTAGATTGAGTCAATATTATAATAATATCAGGTGTTACCATGATCAAAATACATCAACATCTTTTACAATTTAACAAAATAGAGAAAGTCCATCAGTGCCCTACAATAGCATTTACCCATGCGTTTGATATATATTTATGTATTCTTAAAGAAGAGTAAGGATGGATATTTCCTTACTAGGTCTTTGAAGGTACCCTAAGGCTATATGTAGTTATGAAAATCATACACTATTGGGAAAAGAATACATGAATAATGGAACAAAATAGAATAGCTAGGAACAATGAAATAGTAAAAAATTGTTATATAACAAAGTGGCATCCTCAAATGGGTCCTGAAAAAAAATTGGTCATTTAATAAATGATATCAGGATAATGGAGAGACCATAAAAAATGAGTTAGAATTTTATCTTCAAAAAACAAAATTGAGTTTTATAAAAATAACTTACAGATGGATTAAAAGCTTAAGTGTAGAAACAAGACCATAAAAGTCATAGAAGAAAAATAGGTCACCTGAGCTTAGAATGGAGAAGGATTGTTTCTTCAAGACAAAAATTATAAAAGGCCAACAGATTTGAGAGCATAAAATTTAAAGCTCTTTATTTGGCAAAACCCACTATAAGTGAAAGGTAAATGACAAACTAATCAATAAAAATAGTATTCAAATCCATGAAGAGTTCTTTTGAGTCAATTAAAAATAGGCCAACCCACCAATGAAAATGTGACGAAGCATGCTTTAAGCACATCAAAAAAAGAACTAAAAACATCTGAGGAACAACTCTCAAGATATTCACCCTCATTAGTAATAAAGAAAATGCAAAACTTAACAGTGAGACACCGTTTTCCCCTAACAAATTGGCAAAGATTAAAAAAAAAGCAAGTATTGGTCAGGAAAAGGGGGGCTGTGTTCTCTAAAATATTAAAAAGAATATCCTTTCACAAAGCAATTGCATTCCTAGAAATTTGAGCAATTATGGCTATGCAACGATTTTCCTACAAGGATGTTCATCGATGAGTTCTTTCTAGTAATCAACCAATTCCAAAAAACCTAAATATTGCACATGGCTGAGTATAGTGTAGCAAAGTCATTTGGTGGAATGCTAGTCCATCATATAGAAATGTAATTACTGAGATCAGAAGATGTTGAGTAACTTGAATCTTTAAAAAACCAGGCCCCAAAATACTATGTATGTACAGAGCAGAGCAGGCACAGGCTGAGGTTGGCCATCACCCAAGTCTACCTATTGCATGAACCTCACTTTATGGGAGAGACGTGGTGGAAGAATTAAGAAATCAGGAAGACCCTGAGGAGAAGGTATTGAACTAGGAGGTGCTTGGGCACATGATGAATCGAGAAACTGCCAACCTAACTTTCCAAGGCACCCTAAATCAGGGGTCCTCAAACTTTTTAAACAGGGGGCCAGTTCACTGTCCCTCAGATCGTTGGAGGGCCAGACTATAGTTTAAAAAAAAACTATGAACAAATTCCTATGCACATTGCACATATCTTATTTTGAAGTAAAAAAACAAAACGGGAACAAATACAATATTTGTATTTGCATGTGGCCCGCGGGCCGTAGTTTGAGGACCCCTGATTTAGACGGAAAAGATTTCAATGCACGTGCCTTGGCAGGACCTTCTGTCTATACCAGTGGTCGGCAAACTCATTAGTCAACAGAGCCAAATATCAACAGTACAACGATTGAAATTTCTTTTGAGAGCCAAATTTTTTAAACTTAAACTATATAGTTAGGTATATTGTTATTAACTTAATTAGGGTACTCCGAAGGCTTAGGAAGAGCCACACTCAAGGGGCCAAAGAGCCGCATGTGTCTCGCGAACGCAGTTTGCAGACCACAGGTCTATACCAAAGATTTAAACAACCCTTTCTTTCTTTGAAATGGCCAAGGGCGATGTTGGGTTGGGGGAGGGCCGTCACCTGAATGTGGGGCGACCGCTTCCCGATTTCGAGTGGAGCCAGCTGGCCCTCCTCCGCTGAATGCACGCTATGCCTGGAAGTGTTTTTGTGGGCAGCTGAGCAGGAACTCTGTTCTGGGCAGCCCAGCGAGCAGATGGGGAGCAGAGGGGCGGGCTGTGGCGAGGCCCAGATGCTGGGACATGGGGTTCTAAGCCTGGGGGACAAGAGCCAGGCAGAGCAGCAGCTGGAGCTGGACCCAGAGCAGGGAGGACCCGTGGCACTCTTGCCCCTCCAGGGACCATGTCCAGGGACCACGCGAGGCCTCAGATATGCCGGTGACCCAGGAGAAGGCAGATGTGTGGAGAGGGGCTCAGGCCAGCCTGCCCGTGCTAGGAACTTCTCTTCCAGGGAAAGCAGAACTGAAACAGGAAACCATCTCCTTCTCATGTCAGAGAGTCGTCTTCAAACAAAAACCAAGCTCTCATACAAATGCACAGCGAGCCCGTGCCCCAGATGTGTTCAACCCGTCTCCGAGGGAACCAGCGACACGACAGAGCTGGTGTAGAGGAGGGTGCGAGAAACTGATACGGGTTTCTCATGCAAGCTAGAATAAGGGTGCAAAACTAGATACCAAATTAGTTAATGTCATCGAGGAGAATAAAACTGTAACCTTTGAGGGCATCTTTTGTCTGGAACAAAACACTCATCTCACATTCACACGTTAACCCCTGATTTCACAGAACCTGAGCCCTCATCAACAGCAAATAGTAAGTTGAACAAAATTGACCCTCATCTACAGGAGCCTTAAGTGGGCTTGTTAGAAAATGCTTCAGTGTGGTTTCGTAGAGGCATGTGGCTGAGTGCCCCACCCCTAGTGAGCCCAACCGAGAGAGGCAATGGGAGGAACCAGGGAGGGGCTGGAATGGAGGCCGGAATGAGCTCTGGGAGGAGAAGCTGAGGCTCAATCACTTGGCGGTTACCAGTACTAGGTATTAGACCTCAGTGGTTTCAAGTCCTGGAGCTGCGGGGCCGTTGGAAAGACGTTTTACTTATGGGAGCCTCAGTTTCCTCATCTGTAAAATGGGAGGAGGATCCCTCCCTCTCAGAGCAGTTTTCGAGGCTACATGCTGACCTACGTTGATTTCACGTTGCTTGGGCAGTAGGGTTTGGGGTGTGTTGGCTTAAGAGAGAGGTCCTGGCAAGGTCACAGAAAGATGACCAGGGACCTGAAGAGCTGGGCCCTCCACCCAGGGAGCCTTAGGGAGCGAGTTGCCATGGAGATGAATGAAACAGTTTACTCCACTTTGATGTGGCTGGGTAGCAGAGGAAGTGGGCAGGTTATGAAGCCCCGGGCCTCCCCCTTCTTCCTGACTCCACCCCCAATAGGGTGCCTACTGGCTCCGCTCTGGGGCTGGCAGGAAACCTCACATCAGTGCTACCAGGTCCTGCCCACCACAACCCTCTGGGGTTAAGCCCACATGTTTGTTGAATATTTATGCTGTGACCACATGGCTGCGCTCAGCACAATACTTGCCTGCAAAGAATTTATCTGTAATCCTGAGGGGTGACAGTGGGCATCAGATGTGTGAGTCACTCAGAGTGCCACAGCCTCAATGCCTGCATCTCACCCAGACCACGGCCCCATGACGTAAGAGGGAAAAGCAATATTACTTCCATTTTGTGCATGACACAACCAAGACTGGGAGAAGTTTGTTTCTTGCCCAAGCTATAAAGCCAGGTGTGAGAGGAGAAACACGGGCCTTGGTATGACAAAGACATCTGTTTTGTTACTTATTAGTTGGTGACCTGGGGACAGGTTGCATAAGCTTTCCTCATCAAAGCAGGACTGAAATTGTTGTTGATGGTGGTGGTGGTGGTGGTGGTGGTGGTGGTGGTGGTGGTGATGGTGGCAATGGCTGCATTACCTGTGCTTACGGTGCATTCAACATTGCTAAGAATCGGTCCCATCCATCCTCCGACAGCCCCCTGGATAGTCACTAGTATTTCCATCTTTCAGATAATGAAACTTGAGTGCCACACAATTAAGGAGCTTTTCCGTGGTCACATAGCTAACAAGAGTTCTACCACTTGAACCCACGTCTGCTCAAGTCAAAAAAAAACTACCTTCTCACTTTGCAAAATGCTGTGTTTCTTTCAAAAGACCCAGGCAGGGGACTGCATGACTGACAGGCCCCGGGCCCTGCTGGCTCCCCAGCACCTTCTGCCCTTGGGCAGTTTCTCCTGTCCCTTTCCTATCGCCTAGTGCCCTCCCACCCTGGACCTCCTGCCAATCAGGAAAAAACCTGATGAGGTCAGCTCTGCCTGTCAACTGGTGGCAAGAGAATTGTGAATATTCTTCGGTGGCAATACGTTTCTCTTGGGACATAACTGATCATAAACATTTGCATCTTCTACTTTTTGTCTCTGATTATGGAATGAAAGGTTTAGGTCTCTTAAAGGAAAGTCAACCAACACGGACTAGTAGGAGAGGGTCCGTGCTGTTTTTACTCCGACCCCGGATACATGGGAGTCTTTCCCCCACACGCCCGTCCTCCAGCTCCCCAGACACCAGCTGGGTGTCCACAGATTCAATCCAATTCTGACACTAACCACCTGGAGTCAGCACAGACCCCGCAGTGGAGGGCTCAGTCCCGCAAGACTGGCCCCACTTCAGGTGCTGACCATAAGCCCAGGTCTCCCTGGCTTTTGACCAACCAGCTACAAATCAGGGTTTCCCAGCGCTCCCTCCTCAGGTGCAGTAATTTGCTAAAACAGCTCCTAGAAGTAGGAGAGCACTTTACTTACGTTCACTGGTTTATTGGAAAGGATACTATGAAGGATACCGAGGAACAGCCGGGTGAAGGGGTACAGAGGGCGAGGTCTGGAGGGGTCCTGAGTGTAGGAGCTTCTACCCTGTGGAGTTGGGGTTCACCGCCACCCTGGGGGCTTCCTGAACCCCATTGTTTAGGGCAGTGGTTGGCAAACTCATTAGTCAACAGAGCCAAATATCAACAGTACAACGATTGAAATTTCTTTTGAGAGCCAAATTTTTTAAACTTAAACTATATAGGTAGGTACATTGTTATTAGCTTAATTAGGGTACTCCTAAGGCTTAGGAAGAGCCACACTCAAGGGGCCAAAGAGCCGCATGTGGCTCGCGAGCCGCAGTTTGCCGACCACGGGTTTAGGGGTTTCGTGGAGGTCCTACTAAGTAGGCATGATTGACTCAATCTTGGCTTTTGGTGATTACCTCTATCTCCAGCCCCTCCCCCCGCTGAAGGTTGCTGGGGGAGGTCACAACGTTCCAGCCCTCGAATCAATCACAGGGCTGGTTCCAGAGGGCACCCAGCCCCCTGCTGGAAGCTATCTAGGGACCCACCCAGAGTCACCTCATTAGCATAAACTCAGGTCCAGTTAAAGGGGCTTATTTAGATGCTCCTCTCACCCCTCACTCAGGACATGACAAGGATTTTAGGAGCTCTGTCCCAGGAACTGGGGATGAACATATACATATAATAAATACAAATATATATTCTTCATTATATCACGATACTATAGGGGGAGACTCAGGGAAGGAGTGGAAGGCAGATGTTCCAGAAATCACAGGGTGTGATTAGTTGAGCCAGCTGCCTATAAAAGAAAGTCTGAAATAACAGTGGCTTATACTTTTTACACCCCGCCCCCTCACTTCCTCCTGTTAACTGGAATGAGGACTTGATGGCCGGCACTCCAGCAGCCGACTTAGACAATGAAATGACCTTGAGGACGAGGTCTCCCGCCAGGGATGGAGGAGCAGAAAGATGGGAGAAGCCTAGTCTGAATGTTCATGGGACCACGAGTAGGAGAGGGTCTGTGCTGTTTTCACTCTGACCCCTGGATTGCCGTCCACCCGATTTTTGGTTTTAATGTCTTCGTTGGGGGTAGGGGAGTCTCATCGGATGCTCTGTGCTTCACTTGGGGACTGTTGGCAACCAGGATATCCAGCTGAGGAAATGACTCCCTCTGGGCGAGGGTGTGCCCGGGGGCACCGACCTCCTTCAAAAAGTCCCCCAACAGCAAAATCAGGCACAGGGCAAGGTTGTATGGTGTCTGCCTAGCTGATATGAGGCAGCTCTCAGCTCTACCTGCACTGCGATCCCCAAATGAGACTATTCAGATATTATCCTATATAATAAAAGCCTAATATGCAAATTGTCCCCTTGGGACTTCGACCAACCAGGAGTTCGACGGCTCGCTATGACATGCACTGACCACCAGGGGACAGTGGGGAATGAAGGAAGGCCCGGCTGGCAGCCGGCAGCTGCGGGAAGGAAGGCCTGATTGGCCCTGATCACTGGCCAGGCCTAGGAACCCGACCCGTGCACGAATTTCAGGTACTGGGGCTCTAGTCCTAAGATAAACAGGGAGAGAAATACAAGATGTGACTGAATGTTCCTTGTCATGGAGACTAATGGAGCAGAGCAAGCTTCAAGGAGAAAGTGGTCAACAGTATCAAAGACCCAAAAAAAAGAAAAAGCAATTCAAGGAAAATGATGATAAGGTTGAGGCCTAGGGTGTTGTGACTTCAGGAGGGCAGCTCAGGAGGGCAGCTCAGGAGGGCAGCTCAGGAGGGCAGCTCAGGAGGGCAGCTCAGGAGGGCAGCTCAGGAGGGCAGCTCAGGAGGGCAGCTCAGGAGGGCAGCTCAGGAGGGCAGCTCAGGAGGGCAGCTCAGGAGGGCAGCTCAGGAGGGCAGCTCAGGAGGGCAGCTCAGGAGGGCAGCTCAGGAGGGCAGCTCAGGAGGGCAGTCCAGGAGGGCAATGGGATTGGAAGCCAATGGCTGGCATCTGGAAGGAGGCCTGATGGAGGGAGAGAGATCTTGCCGGCTGCTCCCCTCCCCAGGAGAGTGGCCGGCTGCGTGGCCTGTGTCCATCGAGGCAGAGTGGGAGGCGAGGCGACGAGTCTGTGGGGTGTGGGTTACGGTTAAGACGTTCCATGGTAAAAGGAAAGAGCAGACGAGTCAAGAGGAGGCGGCTTGTCTGTGTGCTCCTCGTGGGGAACCCGTGCAGAGTGGGCACCCTCATCCGCTCCAGCGTTTGGATACGAGAGTACAAGGGTATGTATGTGAGAGCTGCCAGACAGCGTTCCCAGTCCTGATAGGAACAGCCACTGTCCGGGGACTCTCCTATCAAAACAGATACAACAGTCACGTCCAAACATGTGACAGTTACATAAAAGAAACACCAAGCAGAAGGCCCAGATCAAAGCAATTGGGTGCTAAGTCAGAATGCATACATTGGCCATTTTCTTCCATGTGTTAGACAAGCATCAGGGCCTTTCTTCCTGCTTCTGCAACGCTTCCCGAGTGGATCGCCTTCCTGCTCCCCACTCCCACCGGCCCGGGCTGGCCCTGCCCCCGACAGGGAAACAGGGACCCCATAAAGACTTCCAAGCTCTAACAAGGGCGCTGTCCCCTGAGGCCCAGCCCCTGCTCTGTCACCCTTGTCAGTGAGGAGAGCGAAACGTGCTTTCATCTCCTCCCGAGGGTGACACAGAACCGAAGACACTCTGTGGAGGGTCTGCTTCCAGCTGCAGAACGGAGCCAACTTGCAGGGAACACTTGAGTCCATTTCTCCACACATTTGAAGTCAAGGAGACCGGCAGGTGGACGGGGCGGAGAGGAAGGCTGGGAGGTGGGGGTGCAGAGGCTCAGTCTGGGAGGGACCCCATCAGGGGTCTGTGGCCCCTGAAAAGTTGTGGAGGCCAGGCCAAGATGCTGGGGGAAGGAGAGAGTGTGGGAGGGGCTGAGGCTGAGGGGATGGCCCGGCGTGCCCACTGCCGGACACCGGGACTGAGAGAGGGCAGTGTGACAGGAGCCAGGACTGCTGGACAGCAGGGACCGGCCTCGGTTCTCCTCTCAGGGTGCTCTGCCCCGCTGCCTCTGAGGAGCAAAGCTTGGCAGGTGGCTGGAGCCAGGTGGGGCCTGGGGCTCATCTTGTCAGAGGCCCCGTAGGCGTCAGGCGTGATCTGACCCATCCAGGAACTCCCATCCTAACTGTCCGGTGCGGCCACTGTGAGGCGCAGGCCACGAGTGCCAAAGGACCAGGTAACCGCGTGAATCTGTTCTTTTTCTTTGGCCACAGGAATCTCCTACCAGCGGCTGGTGAGGGCTGAGCAGGGTCTGCCCCTTCGGAGTCACCGCAGCTCCACTGTGTGAGTGCTCTTGGGGAGCGAGAAACAGCATGGGGGTGGGGTGGGGATGGGACTATGCCCACTGTTCACCATTCCTGCTCCAGCACCCCTGCATCCCTCTCTCGCTGCACCCCAACCAAGCCCCCCACAAACAGGCTTAGACCTGGAACCCCGGGATTGCTGGTGATGTTTTGTGCACAGAGCTGCTTTCTGGGTCTTTCATCAGATTCCTAAACAGGTCTGAGACTTAAAAAAAAAAAAAAGGTTAAGAATCACCTGCATTGATCATGCCAGGAGCTGGGCACACATTACCTCACTTCACCCCACTTTTCAGATGAGGAAACTGAAGGTCAGAGAGGCCAAGTAACTTCCCCAAGGTCACACAGCAATGAGTGTCTGAGCCAGGACCGGAACCTCAGTTCTCCTCGGAATCCCATGCTCTTCCCACAGTGTCTTTCTGCCGGTTTTTAAAGCAGCATTTTCCAAACTTTTTTTTTTTTAACCAGAATCTGCAATAAAGAATTCATTTTCTATGACAGCCTGGCACACACACACACACACACAGCTAAAACAGGTTTCATGAATTGAAACTTACCCTTACCTCCTAGGGTGGGCTCTGTCCCCTTCTATTCCATTTCAATTAAAAGGCAATTCTGGTGGTGACTCCGCAAATGGATTGCATTGCCCACTCATGGGTCCGGGTCTGCAGTTTGACAAACGCTAGGAGAGCAGCCTCCGTTCCGAGGCCCCTCTGGCGGGTCTCCGGGCGTGTGGGCGCTGTCTCACCCGGACACCTGGGTGCCCAGACGCTTCAGCTTCAGCTTCAGCAGCAGAAACTATAGTCACCCCGCCCTCCCATCCCCAGGCAGTGCACGTCCTGAGAGAGACAGAGGGACAAGCATATTTGTAAATGTTAGCTTAGCAAGTAAATAAGCTCCCTCCCAGGCAGGGTCAGGGGGCTGGTGAACGCTCACCAACATCGTCCGGGCACTTACTGAGCTCTGGGCACCGCTGTGGGCATGGCTGCTTCCTGCAATCCTCGTGCTGACCTTGTGGAAAAGGCATTTTAAAGGTCGGGGAACTGAGGTTCTGAGAGGTTAGTAGACGGTCTCGGGGCTGAGGGGGAACCCACTCCTGTTTTCCGTGAGTTGGGAGGGATGGTCGGTTTTCCAGCGGAGATGGCGTGCAGGCGGCGAGGGCGCAGGCTGGCCGGGCTGGTCCTGCACACAGTGAGTCAGGTGGGGGAAAGTGAGGTCTTGTGTGCCCAGCACCTGGGATCAAGCCCTCAGTGAAGGAGAGGGGCTCAGTGAGGGGCTGCTTACGTGAGCCTGTCTCCTTTTTCTTCTAAAGAGAAATCAAACATAGTTTTCTCCCCACGGTGATGCCTCTGACAGCGCCGGGTCCTGAGCCCAGGGCCCCGCTCCGGGCAGATGCCCACAGGGACTGGGGGTTGCGTCGCCTGCCTGGCGTTGCTTTGCACTGGTGTGAATGCAGCTCACGGTGTGGGTTTGGGAGAGAGTGCGACGAAGGGAAGCCATGGGCATGACAGCGTGCACGGGCGGGCGCAGGAGCACCGTGATGGCTCAGACACGTTCCAGGAGACGCAGTACGAGGGTCGGCGTGGGCGACGTGAGAACCGTCCTGGGTTGTTAACCGTTAACTGAGTAATTGACACCTCGGGGTTCACGGTTCTCAACATTTGTGTCTATTTGAAATTTTCATAATGAATGCATTTCACACGCACCGAGGAGGAGCCGGGGTGGAGCGGGGAGAGAGGTGGAGGTGGCTGGACACACACTCCTCCCCAGCCAGTGCCGGCCTGTGTGATGCGCGGGCAGTTAGAAGAGGGTCCCCCGGGCAGAGGACTCGGATGCAGCCCTGGCTTGGCCCGCCTTCCTCCTGGCAGATGCCACCCCACCCCGCAACCCGTGGCTTGAGGAGCAGGGCAGGGGCCAAAATTTCAGCCCCCCTGCACCACGGCATATGTCTGTCTGCGTCCCCTTCCCAAAATGATCGCCTGGCTTCCAGCGACCTCTCCTAAAACACAGTCTTCTCTTGAGTAATCTTATATCCATTCAGATGTCCTGTAGAGGGAAAAAAAATGTTTATATAAAAATTAAGGTAAAACTTATTTTAAAAAAATTGAGTTCAGTGTTGAAAGGGTCTTTGAAAACACCGGGTGAAAAATACTCAAAAGTAGACCATACACTTTCCTCTTGGAACCGGGACCCTTGAGCCCCCACCTCTCTCATGGCCTCAGGCCCTGCCCGGGCTGTGAGGAGGCCCAGGCCTCGGAGGGACCCAACCCCAGCATGAGGCGTGTGGCGGCGCCCCGGTGCCCACAGCCACTCCTCTGTGCCCCCAGCACCGTGCTGCTGCTGAACCCTGTGGAGGTGCAGGCGGAGTTCCTCGCCGTGGCCAACAAGCTGAGCACGCCCGGGCACTCGCCCCATAGCGCCTACATCACCCTGCTCCTGCACGCCTTCCAGGCTACCTTCGGGGCCCACTGTGACCTCGCGGGTCTGCACTGCAGGCTGCAGGTATGTGTCTGGGGCCCGGGGGTCCACCCTGCCCCCTTCTCGCAGACCTGTGTCTGCTCCATCTTAGGGCTGCAGTCTCCAGGGTACACTGGCCTCCCTCACCCCGAGGCATGGTGGGTGGTGGTTGGAGAGCCGGCCCTGCCATGAGGCTCTCTGTTGTGCTGGGGCCTGACCAGGGTGGGTGGGACCCGCCTCAGGGGAACGAGATTCAGACTGAAGCTGGAAGACTGGTGTCTGGCCCCAGCTCTGGGACAGGCCCTGGACAGACCCTCTGCTCTGGGCCCTTCTCTCATGACCATGTCCTGAGCGGGGGGGTTGGGGGCAGGCCTGGCTCCCGGGCTGTGGGTGGAGATGGGCGATGAGGCTGGGAGGGCCTGGGCCCTGCTGCCCTGGGTAAGACCTGGGAAGTGGAGGCGGGCAGCCGGCCATGGCACAGGAGCAAGCCGGTCTCCTCCTGGGGTTCCAGTCCAAGGCCCTGGCCGAGCTCGAGGACGTCTACACGGAGACGGCAGAGGCCCAGGAGCTGGCCTCTGGCATCGGGGATGCAGCCGAGGCCCGGCAGTGGCTCAGGACCAAGCTGAAGGCGGTGGGAGAGAAAGCCGGCTTCCCCGATGTCTTAGGTGAGGCCCTGGGACAGGGGGGCCCACTTTCCCCGTGGCCTGCTCTGGCTCCCACCGTGAGCAGTCCAGGTCGGCCTGGAGGCTCTGCTCCACACCATCCCTCGGGGACCACGCTCCTCAGCATGTCCTCCACGCTGGTGCCCGGGTCCTGCCTGCGGGGTCAGGGCTGGGCACACCGTGTGGGGCTGTGGGAAGAGGGAAAGCGTGTGCTAATCAAGGGCAAGGGCCTCTCACTTGACATGAAGACAATACGGAAGTCGCGCGTGTCACATCGACCCATATCCCCTTGGCCCACTTTGGTCACATGGCCACACCTCACCCCGAGGAGCCTGGGAAACTTCCTCTCCACACCGTGTTACCGCAGAAGAAGGGACACGGCGTCCTCGAATCTGAAGGGGGAGGGCCCTTGTTTTGCTGTTTGGCCCCTGTAAAAGGAGGCGCAAAGTGTGTGCCGCCACATTTACACAGCGTATACAAGGGCATGGCACCCCACAGTGCCCTCTGGCTGCGAGCCAGCACCCCAGCTCTCAGCTCCAGCTCCGCCCTGGCCCACCCAGCTTCTCGGCCTGGCCCATCCTCTCCCAACTATGCCCTCTTCTTTAAGGCGAGGGCACTGGGCTGGCCGATCTCAGGGCTCCTTCCCAGGCCTCACCTGGGCCGGCCCCGCCTGTTCTTACAGATCCTGCGAACCCAGGCAAGCTCCGCACCATCCCCATCCCTGTCGCCAGGTGCTACACCTACAGCTGGAACCAGGACAGCTTTGGTAAGCAGCCGGGGCCCCAGCCCAGCGGCCTGGGCTTTCTTCCCGCCCGTCTGTGCAGCAGCCTCCACTCCCCACCAGCCCTCCGGCCTGAGCAGGCTCTGGGCAGGGCAGGGGGCTGCACGCTGAGTCCTGGGCTGGACTTGATCCGCCTTCTGGCACCTCCTCCCCAAGTCCATTCTGTCTGAACCTGTCGCCCTCCCAGAGGAGAGCGGGAGAGGTTTCCCGGCCCGGACACCCAGCGGTGCCTCCCTTTCCCGTGCAGACGTCCTGAAGGAGATGCTGCTCAAGGAACAGGAGCTGCTGGAGCCGGGGCTCCTGGGGGACGAGGACGAGGACGAGGACGAGGATGAAGAGGAGGAGGAGGAAGAGGAAGAGGAGGAGGACTTGGAAACGGATGGGCAGTGTGCCCAGAGGGACTCACTGTTTTCCACCAGCTCGGAGGCCTCCCGTGACTCCACCCTGTCCCTCGCCTCGTCCCAGGCCTCGGGGGCCACCCTCTCCAGCCAGTTGCTGACCTCCTTTGTCTCGGGCCTGTCGGACGGCATGGACAGCGGCTACGTGGAGGACAGCGAGGAGAGCTCCCCGGAGTGGCCCAAGAGGCCGGGCGGCCGGGAGCGCCGGGGCTACCGCAGGCCCGGGCAGAAGTTTAACAGGATCTACAAACTGTTCAAGAGCACCAGCCAGCTGGTGCTGCGGAGGGACTCTCGCGGCCTGGAGGGCAGCCCGGACTCGGCACTGCCCCT